TCTACTTCTGTAGTGATACTGCCTCGGAAACCCAAGGAGGGATTGCTCTGAGTCGGGTTTGACTCGACGGCACATAACAACAACAACAAGACTGTTTCTAACCAGTCAGCTTCTGTAAAGATTTACAGCCTTTAAACCCTATGGGGCAGTTCTACTCTGTGCTATAGGGTGGCTACCACTCGGACTCAACTTGATGGCAGTGGGCAGTGGGTAAGGCTAGAAATGTGCAAAAAGTCACCTTCACAGGGTAACAGAGATTCTTCAATGGGCAGACCCAGTGGTTCACAAAGGGTACTGCAGGTGGCATCAGAGGGTGGTCGGCCAACAGCAGTGATTATCAATGGTAACAAAAACCAAACCAAACTCACTGCCGTCAAGTTGGATCCGACTCATAGCGACCCCTCCTTGGGTTTCTGAGGTGGTATCACTATGGAAGTAGATTGCCCAGCCTTCCTTCCAAGGAGTGGCTGTTGGTTTTGAACCGCCAGCCTCCTGGTTAACAGTCAAATGCCAGGATTGATAGCCGTGTACAGTTTCACAAAGTACTTTCACATATATGAGCTCATTTAAAATTTTCTGCAAACATCATTGCATAGTCATTATTATCAAACCTGTTTTACAGATGGATGCAAGTAAGGCTGAGCAGTTAACTGACTCACCCAAAGGCCCCCAGCCTCTAAGGCATACAGAGGGCATACTCTTCTCCCTAATGCTGCTGCTGCTTAGAGACTCCATCCAGTATGTGTGTGACTGTGTGTGAATGTGTGTGTGAGAGTGTGTGCATGTGAGTGTGTGACTGTGGGTGTGTTTAAGGAGGATCAGCAGGTAAGGAGGGAGTAGGCAGAGTCAGAGAGGGAGAACACATTTCTGAACTTACTTGGCAGGAGCAGCTTCCATTTCCTTCCAAGCCTTCGGCACAACTGCCCCTGCCACTGCAGGGGGACATGGCACCTCCTGGGCACTCTAGGAAAACAGCTCAGTTTTATTCACTCGTGACTACACACAAGCATTCTGCAAGGATGGATTAAACACCTTTTTTTTTTTTTTTTTTAATTGTGATTTGGGTGAAAGTTTACAGAGCAAATTCCCTTTCCATATAGCAGTTCACATACACTTACTTTGTCTCATGACATTGACTACAATTTACCTTGCAACAGCTCCCCTCCCACTTCCTCCCGACAGTCACCTCTTCCCTGTGTCTATCCCTCCATGCACTCCTGCCCCCTGAGCTGTCTCCATGTGCGTAAACAGTCCTTCTTTCTTTCATGATTGTTCTCTCCAAAGAGTGTATCTACCTCAGGTAAATGTTCAACTCATTTACTTGTCTTTTGTTTGTCTGGAAGCCACAGGTGTGGGTTCAATTCCAGACCCGAAGGGCAGCTAGGGGCCATAGTTTCAGTGGTTTCACCAGGCTCTATCAGACCAGCAAACATGGTCGCCTTCCCGCCCCCCCCGCTCCACAAATGATTTTGAATATTGTTCCACATTGTTCTCCCTCTCTATCAAGGATCTCCTACATAGATCCCCCTCTGAGTGGTTGACTGTGGTAGCCGGGCACCATCTAGTTCTTCTGGTCTCATAGTTGTATAGGCTGCGGATCACATGGTGTACCAGTTGTAGGACTAATTGTTTCCATGATGCTTTTGTTTTCTTCCTTCTTCTTTTCTCTGGATGAGGAGAGACCCATCGTTGCATCTAGGTGGCTGCTTGCAAGCTTTTAAGATCCCTGTCGGGATTAAGCACCTTTTATGTGCCAGTTAAGGAGCTCTGGTGGCACAGTGGCAAAAGCATTCAGCTGTTAACTAAAAGGTCATCAGTTCAAACACACCAGCTGCTCTACACAAGAAAGATGAGGCAGTCTGTATCTGTAAAGATTTTCAGCCTTGGAAACCCTGTGGGGCAGTTCTACTTTGTCCTATAGTGTTGCTATGGATGGCAGTGGGTTTGGCTTGGTTATGATATGGAGTTAGGGGTGTGGGTGATGCTAGCTGTTTGTGATCAGCTACTAACCTAATGCTTGGCTGCTCGAACTCACGCAGTGGCCCTGTTGAAGAGAGGCCTTTCCTGTTGCTTCTGTAAAGGTGTCAGCCAAGAAAACCCTGTGGAGCAGTTCTGCTCAGCACACATGGGGCTGCTGGGAGCTGGGGCTGACACGATGGCACCCAACAACAACATATGCCAGTTCTAAGTCCTTGTGGTGTAGCTGTTGTTAGGTGTCATCGAGGCACCTCCGACTCATAGTGACCCTATGTACAACAGAACGAAACACTGCCCGGTCCTGTGCCATACACACAATCTTTGCTATGGTTGAGCCCCGTGTGTGGTGCAAACGGTTAATGTGCATGGCTGCTAACTGAGAGAATGGAGATTTGAGTGCACCCAGAAGTGCCTTGGAAGAAAGGTCTGGTTATCTACTTCCAAAAAGTCAGCCACTGAAAACCCTACGGAGCACAGTTCACTCTGACACACATGGGGTTGTGTGAGTCTGGGCCAACTCGACAGCAACTGTTTACTGGTTTACATGCCTGTTAGTGTGCTAGTCTCCGGGCAAAAAAAATATATTTACAGATCCTGTTGGTTTCACCAGGGGTTTGTAAGGCAGCTGATGTGAGGTGAATCACAGTGCAGGCAGGCACTGTAACAGAAGGCAGAGGACTGTCTTTTTTTTTTAATTGTCTTTTTAGTGGATAAGCTTTTATTTTAATTTTTAAAATTGTGATTTGGAAAAAAGTTTACAGAGTCAATTTATTTTCCATACAACAGTTCATACACATTTTGTTTCATTAAATTGACTGTGATCCCCATAATGTAACAGCTCTCCTTCCTTCCTTCCTGTGGTTACCTTTTCCCTGTGTCCTTCTTTCCTGTGCATTCCTGCTGTCTGAGCTATCTCCCTGTGCAAATACTGCCCTTCTGATCTCCCATGGCTGACTGTTCTAAGGAGTGTCCCTACCTGGTGAGATTGTTCATCTTATATGTCCAGACAGTCACTTTTTTGAGCACTTAGTGCTTACCAATTACCTATTTAAGTCAGTCCCATCATGGTCCTCAGGGATTGTTATTGATGCTGGTTAGCAGATGAGGTCGCTGAAGTTCAGAGAGGTCCTGTAACTTGTTTAAGGTCTCCATTTATAGTTTGTAAAGCTGAGAACTTAGGCCTTATTATCATTCCAAAGCCAGTGCTCTCTGCAGGGTATTGAGGTAGCCCAGAGACAGGAGCCATTGATTTTGCCTTGGAAAGTTTGGAGAAATATTCATAAGGAAGATAATTTAAGCAGGTTATTGAAGGCTCAGTAGATGTTACTAAACCAAACCAACTACCATTGAGTTGATTCCAACTCTTAGAGACCTTATAAGTCAAAGTATAACTGCTCCATAGGGTTTCCAAGGTTGTAAATCTTTATGGAAGCAGACACCTTTCTCCTGTGCAGTGGTGGGTAGATTCAAACCACCAAGCTTCCTGCCAGTTAGCAGCTGATGCTTAACTATGGCACTACCAGGGCTCCTGTATAAGAAGTCAGTTGGAGCCAATTAGCAAAGTGCTTCTTATTGGCAAGTGAAGGAACTTAGATTTCACTTGAATGCTTATAGTAAGCAGCACTTCTGCACTTCTGTGCTAGACCTGAATTGGAGCTTTTATGGATAATTATTAGAGCACTGTACAGTCATTCACTGAACATGCAGGTAATAACTACTATGTGCCAAGCGCTATATTAAATGCTGGGGCGCAGGGAGGTTCACTTAGAAGCCAGATACAGATGTTGTTGTTATTAGATACTGTTGAGTCATCTCCAATTCATAGTGACCCTATGCACAGCAGAACAAACCAGGCCCAGTCCTGTGCCACCTCCTTGCTATACTTGAGCCCATCACTGTAGCCACTGTGTCAGTCTATCTCGTTGAGGACCTTCCCTTCTTTCGTCGACCCTCCACCTTACCAAACGTAATATCCTTCTCCAGGGAAGGGTCCTTTCTTACAACATGACCAAAGTAGGTGAGGCGAAGCTTGGCCATATTCTCTTTCAAGGAGCATTCTGGCTGCACTTCTTCAAGGAGAGATCTGTTAGCTCTTTTAGCAGTCTATGGTACTTTCAGCATTCTTTGCCAGCACCACAACTCAAAAGTGTCAACTCTTCTTCGGACTTCCTCATTCATTGTCCAACTCTCACATGCGTATGAGGCGACTGAAAATACCATGGCTTGTGGCAGGCTCACTTTAGTCCTCAAGGAGACATCTCTGCTCTTCAGCACTTGAAAGAGGTCCTTTGCAGCCAGTTTGCTCAGTGCTATATGTTGTCTAGGGAGCTCTGGTAGCATAGTGCCTAAGGCACTTGACTGCTAACCATAAGGCTGGTGGTTCAAACCCACCAGGCACTCCTCAGAAGGAAGGTTGGGAAATCTACTTCCGTAGTGATACTGCCTCAGAAACCCAAGGAAGGGTCGCTGTGAGTTGGATCCGATTCCATGGCACATAATAACAAACAACAACAATACATCGTTTGATGTCTTGACTGCTGCTTCCATTGCTATTGATTGTAGAACTAAGTAACGTGAAGTCTTTGACAACTTCAATCTTTTCTCCATTTATCATGATGCTGCTTATTGGTCTAGTTGTGAGGATTTTTGTTTTCTTTATATTGTGGTGTAATCCATACTGCAGACTGCAGTCTTGAATCTTCATAAGTAAGTGTTTCAAGTCATCCTCACTTTCAGCAAGTAAAGTTGTGTCATCTACCTATCACAGGTTGTTAATGAGTCTTCCCCCAATCCTGATGCCATGTTCTTCTTCATATAGTCCAACTTCTCGGATTATTTGCTCAGCATACAGATTGAATAAGTTTGGTGAAAGGATACAACCCTGACACACTCCCTTCTTGATTTTAAACCATGCAGTGTCTCCTTGTTCTGTTTGAATGACAGCCTCCTGGTCTATGTACAGGTTCCTCATGAGTACAATTAAGTGTTCTGGAATTCCCATTCTTCTCAATGTTATCCATAATTGGTTATGATCCGCATAATTGAATGCTTTTGCATAGTCAATAAAACACAAGTAAACATCTTTCTGGTATTCTTTGCTTTCAGTCAACATCCACCTGACATCAGCAATGATATCCCTCATTCTGCGTCCTCTTCTGAATCCAGCCTGCACCTCTGGAAGTTCTCTGTCAATATATTGCTGCAACTGTTTCTGAAATATCTTCAGTACGATTTTACTTGTGTGCGATATTAATGATGTTGTCTGACAATTTCCACATTCTGTTGGATCAATTTTCTTTGGAATGTGTCAAATATGGATCACTTCCAGTCAGTTGGCCAGGTAGCTGTCTTCCAAGTCTCCTGGCATAGCTGAGTGAGTGCCTCCAGTGCAGCGTCCGTTTGTTGAAACATCTCAATGAGTATTCCATCAATTCCTGGAGCCTTGTTTTTCGCCACTTCTTCAGTGCAGCTTTGACTTCTTCCTTCAGTACCTTTGGTTATTGATCATATGGCACCTCCTGAAATGGATGAACATCGACCAATTCTTTTTGGTACAGTGACTGTGTATTCCTTCCTCTTCTTTTGATGTTTCCTGAATCATTCACTATTTTGCTCATAGAATCTTTCAGTATTGCAACTCGAGGCTTAATTTTTTTCCTCAATTCTTTTAGCTTGAGAAATGCCAAGCATGTTCTTCTCTTTTGGTTCTCTAACTCCAGATCTTTGCACATTTCATTATAATAATTGACCCTGTCTTTTTGAGCTGCTCTTTGAAATCTTCTGTTCAGCTCTTTTATCTTGTCATTTCTTTCATTTGCTTTAGCTACTCTCTGTTCAAAGGCATGTTTCAGAGTCTCTTCTGACATCCATTTTGGTCTTTTCTTTCTTTCTCATATTTTTAATGACCTTTTGCTTTTTTCATGGATGATGTTCTTGATGTCATCCCACAATTTCTCTAGTTTTTGGTCATTAGTGTTCAGTGCATC